TAAGTTCAAAGCATATCCTTAAATAAAATAATGTAAAAAAAATATTTTTTAAAAACAAGCTTTTATTTAACCTGTACAATCAAATGAAGTAGTGTAACAAAAGATTTTTTAGCAAGAAAATTTTGTCAAAACTGCACTAAAATGAGTAAAATAAAATAAGTTAAGATCTCGTTAAAGTTACTAAAAGCCATTTAGTGAAAGAAGTTATTCAAACTCTAATGAAAACTACTAACCATTTGTACTAATTTACTTCGTTTTTAAAAAAGCTTGTCGCGCGAATAGCAAACCGGCATTTAAATATCTGCATACATACATACCTAACCAATTATGCATGTACGCTGAATTCGCCGACAAGCTTTTTTAAAAAGTAAATTAAGAAGTAAATTAGTACAAATTGTTAGTAATTTTCATTAGAGTTTGAATAACTCCTTTCACTAAATGGCTTTTAGTAACTTTAACGAGATCTTAACTTATTTTATTTTACTCATTTTAGTGCAGTTTTGACAAAATTTTCTTGCTAAAAAATCTTTTGTTACACTACTTCATTTGATTGTACAGGTTAAATAAAAGCTTGTTTTTAAAAAATATTTTTTTTTACATTATTTTATTTTATAATTTGTAGTCCATTTATAAAAGCGTTGTATAATAAAAAGTGTTATTTTATTTTATGTACAAAATTTTGCAATAGATATTAAAATAATTCAACTTGCAATGAAAGAGAACAGAAGACTTGGCAAGCAAAATGTTGTTTGCTTACGTTTTGTATAAACATACATATGTACACATAGCAGCAGTTAATTTTATTTCAAGAAATGGCGTGTCGTCCATTTCCGCTGTAGCATGGCTTATATTTAGGCGCAATATTTAACTTCTTCTGGCGGGGCACATCTGGAGTCTTTTATTGTATCTCCTTGATATGATGCCTACAACGAGGTTCATATCTAGACTAGGAATAGCTTTGCTGCACTACCGCCGCGGCGCGTCGGCAGCTTTAACAATTTTATAGTGGTTTTACGTTCTTTGGCAAATTACGCTCTGTTAGCCATAAATCTTACTATTTTTTGACCGCCTTTGAATCAAGACCCCTGGACCATATGGAGAATTCATTTACATTTTAAATTGCAGTGTCATCGGCATTGGAACTATGCTGAAAATTTCAAGTCTCTAACTTGTCGGGAAGTCAGTTTAAAATCAATTGGAATTTTCCGCGATTTGCGCGGGATGACCAAGTTAAATAAAAGCTTATAAAAATAATTTTGCTAAAAAAATATTATGCTTTTTGTTATCAATAGCTTACCAATTTCCATTTAATGCAAAAAAAAACTATTTATTTTTTCAATCGCTAATATGCCTTCGACTTCCTTGTTCAGGTGCGTTTAAACGAATATGTGCCGGTTTTTGGTAAATTATTTACAGTGCAATGTTTTAAATATTACAACAATGAAAACAAATTTTTGCATACAACATAAACTGCCGATAGTTTGACGAACAATAAGAGTTAGAATTTGTTCTGAGTAATCCTTTGAGAAAGGAGAAAGAAGATAGCAAACTTAAAATTAAGAGTGCGTTTCAAACTTATGTGACTTACGGTTTCGAAGTTATAGCTGATTAAAAATGTCACGCCTATGGGAGGTACCACGCCCCCTTGTCACATCTCATTTTTTTGTACCCTAGGTTACGTCCGAGGTCACTCTCTATATACAAGATAAAGCCCCATGAAAATCCATGCAGTAGTACCGTAGATTAGTGAGTTCAAACAGACAAATAGACAAACAATCTACAGTTTTAACTATATGGGCAAATCTAAAAAACAGGTAACCTTAGTGTTTTTTAGCTTTATTTTCACTGTTGGAAACTATATCAAGCTGGTTGCTTTTGGATATACTTGAAGCCTCAAAAAAAATTTGGATCAATTTCCCTCATAACTTTTGAATTATAGGTGTTTAAATAAAAAATAATAATGAAAACAAGTGAATTTTTTATGTAATTTTTAAGAGGTGAAAAATTAATTATGCCATAACTTTTGAAGCACACCATATACTGATTTGAAATTGTATGTGCAATTAGTACTTATGTGTACACTTCAAATGTAGTAGGTAAGAAAAGTGTGCATTAAAAAATAACGAAATGGCAAGTAACTCAAAGTCTGTAATTCCACATTTCACAATTATCAAAATTTTCGGTTTATCGCGTATAGTTTTTGAAGCATTTAAGTTTAAGAACTTTTTAAGTATGTATTGTATACTACAAACAATTACGAATAATTTCATACCTGAGCAAGAGCTGTGCTTTCAGAGTAAACCAACTTTTAAAGATAAAATATTCTGCGATCTTGAGCGTAATTTTTATTCCAAAAACACTTTAATTAAAGCCACATTTGAAAAACACGTCGAAACGATCTAAATCTTTCTATAACTGCTAGTCCTTATAAAATTACATATACCTGTAAAATGCTTCAAAAAATTTATCTCTAGAAGTGTGTAAAAACCCTGATTTACTACTCTTAATGATGCTACTTCTTTTAGTCAGAATATTTCGAGAGTGGTATTAAAGCAATTTTTTTCGACAAATGTTCTGATAGTTGCTCTTACTTAATTGGAGCCTTCTGAATTCAATGGCGTCCTAAGTTTTACCCTATTGGCTCCACTTTTCGAGATAGCGGTACTTGAAACTTTCCTTAAATTTTAACTATTTTATAAAAAAAAGTCCCTGGGTTTTGAAGATATTTTACTAAAATTTTGCACATAACCGTTTTTTAATATTACCTTAACTATTCCATTAAATCATCGAAATCGGTTAACTAAAACATATAGCTCCCATACCACTGATTGATCTGAGACGTTGTTTTGCGTTATAACTCCTTTAATTAAACAGGTTAAAATTTAGTATAGGTTCAATTTAACATATAGCACGCATACAATTTATTATTCAGATATGAAGTTAAGAGTTATTGCGCAAAAACACATATCTGAGTAATCAGTTGTATTGGAGCTATATGTTAATGTTAACCTATTTCGATAATTTTAAGGAATAATTAAGGTAATATTAAAAAACTGTTATGTGCAAAATTTTAGTAAAATAACTTCAAAATTGAGGGAGTTATTTATAAAATAGTTAAATTTAATCAAATTTTCAAGTACCGTTATCTCGAAAACCGGAGCCAATCTTGTAAAACAGGGCATGCCATTGAATTTAGAACATCCCAGTTAAGTGAGTTCAACTTTCAAAATCTTTCCTCAAAGTTTACAACTTGAACAGCGTAATTTCAACCCAGCTTATTCTTTTGTTTTCTATTTCATGCTTATTTCTCGTCTAACTTTTGAAGCACTTGATGAATATGAATTACACTTATATTAATAGATTTATTAAGAGATTACGAATAAAAATGATATATAAAACATAGGTGTGCTCACAAATTTAAAAATTAAAATTTTTTGTTTGAAAGTGTACCTATTTTTTAGATTTGCCCATATATGTATGTAGTATAGATGAGTTTTTTTTTCAAAACCGGCTCTACAAGTTATGGGATATAAAATTTTTAAACGTTATTTATAACAAAAATAACACAAATTAGGAAAAAAAAATGATGTACAATGTCCTTCGATTTAAAGTTGGTTCAAGTCCACCGTGTATGGTTCACGCAAATGAAAGACTTAATTTTTGGAACTTTATGTTGAAAGGCCAAAATAAACATAGTAATTTCTTGGCGTGTTCTTACTTTTTCGGATAGTAGTTCTCTTATTCAAAGCGATTCTCCAAAATTAAGTTACTGATGAATTACTGGATATCATTTTGCATGAGAGTACAGAGCTATTGTTAGTGATATGCCTCAAATCTTTGTTACATTACCTTAAGAAACTTAAATTTATACTCCAATTTATACTTGTTTTATTAAATTAAAATTAGTTTTTCGGGTGAAAAGTTGATTTTACTTTTTAAAACAAAAAAAATATATATATTTTTTTAAGTAAAAAAAATTACAAGAGTTTTAGGAGAAAATGAGAGGTCATATGCAACACCTTTAATCAATATCCCACCTATGTCAAAAAGTTTGGAAAAAGTTATCACAGCATTCTGTCGGCGTTTATCTTTTAAACATAACATAGCATTTTTGCTATAATATCGTCAGTCGACAAAGAAAGCTAAAACATTTAACTGACCATTGTCATTTTCTAATACTAATTTTCTTTTAGTAATGCATTTAATTTAAATGTAATTTACTCCATATAGACTAATTTGTTTACATTCAGATTAATGTCATGGATTAAGAAAAACTGGAATTCATATTTTCGTTAGAGAAAAATAAAAGTTTTTGCAATTATATTTCGAAGTATTAAAATTTGCAAGGCATTCACATATCGTCGCCTGGGTAAACGATTGCCGTATGTTAATTTCGGAAGGTTGTGGGAAATCGCGGTTGAAGTTTGGAATGCAGTTTCTCAAAAACGCGAAGATAGATTTTCTCCAAAGTCTCTGAAAATGTTACTATGTTCACAAAATTCTCAAATTATTCAATTTTTAATGTTTATTGTTAATTAGTTTTGAGTTTATGAAGTAAAATTTTGTCGTAAGCGCCATTTGTCCACAATCTGGCAGCCACTTTGGATGAAATACGACAAAATATGATCAAAATTTCTACTAAATTAACGACACTTTTTATTATTCAATATCTCGGAAACTAAAGGAGATATCTAAAAATGGAGAACGCCATTTTTAAGATATTGATTAGTTTAATATGGCTGTGTCACTAACTAAATTTTTACTAAATTATCGAAAAAATTTTAGTCAATATCTCCGAAACTAAAGGAGATATCTAAAACCTGATAACACCAATCCAAAGACCTTATTTCAAAATATATAACAGTATCTAGAACTAAAAATCGTCAAAATTGCGCTTACGATTATCTTTTACCCAGGCGACGATATGCAACATTTGGTCAAGCATGCATACATATCTTGCGCCTGCGTACACACTAACCACATGATCTAACGTAACTTACTTGTTCGGGTGTTAAAGGTAGCCAGTAAATACATGGTGTACTCTTAGTTTTGCGAAACAAATCATCAAGAAGTCGTAACGGTGGGTCATTTTCCTTTTTCTTTACCTTCCGTACTATAAAAGTATACATATATTATTTATATATAGACAAAAATGTTGGATAGCATTCATACCAGGTGATCGGCTACTACTTCTCGCTTCTCCTCTTCCCTTTGAACGTGGTCTCCTATCCTTTCCATTCCGATCAGTTTCCCGATTGCCGAAGAAAATTTCCCTCTCTCTGCTACGCCGCCTTAGGATTTCCCTATTTTTATCTCGATCTAAACTTTCCTTCTTACCAACATCCCATTCTCGAACCGGTCTTATTGTCTGAAATATATTACATTGAGCCAATAACCCAAAATTCTTTTTTGTCTAGCAACGAATTTAAGGTTAAAAAGAAAAAAAAATAAGTTAAAATAGTAGAATACGTACGGATGATCTTAAGTGAATACGTTAACTTTATATTAGTGATTACACACTTATACAAAATGCATAAATAGATACATATATGTTCATATAACGAAATATTTGAGGTATAAATAAAACCATATTTATCTAAAACCATATTAAATATAAAACCATATTTATACACAGGCTAACACTGAACTGAAATTAAAAATTCGATTGCAGCATTAGAAAATTTAAATTAATCTTCGAAAGCGACCTTGAAAGTTTCCAAATGGATTTGCGAAATGTGGCAAAAAGGCAGGTAGAATATCACTCTGACAGCAAAACTCTAAGGAAAAAATACTTGCGTTGCCACGTCTGTCTACGCTTGTGGATAAATTATGTGCCAATACGTCTGTACGAAATGCATTCCGTACATTACTCAATGTTTTACTACTAGCACATTGTTGGAGCCATAGCACATGTATCCCAAAACTGTATTTCAAAAAAAGCAATAATAAAATAAATAATTCGTCTAATAAAAATAATCCCAACGGTTTCCCGCCAATCCGCACGAGGGGCGCAGTCCGCATGACGTACGGAACCATTATTTTCAATTTTTGCGCCGAGTCACGAAAGGGAGGAGTTTGTTAAGTGTCGAGATATAAAACTGTTCAGCTACAGAACTAAATTTATCTGCTGATTTTATGTCTTTATGTTAGTAATTCATTTATTGAGAGAGGATAATATCGCTTTCTTAGTGCTGAAAAGTGGATCTGACATATCAAACGTGCAGGAATGAGAATTAAAATCCTCATAAGCAACGGAGTGGCTCGTGAAATTCAAAATTAATTTTACCGGCTCTCAGAAATAGGGGACAAAAGTGTCTTGATACACGAGAGGGTACATTAAAGCTAACGTCAGCCACAAGAGACGGACTTGAAATTGAGCCTGTCAGTAATTTAACCATAAAAATTATACCAAGCATTTCCCTGCTACTGATAAAGTGTAGGAAGGTTAATAAGATTTCAGCGACTCGTTTAAGGTGGAAGATTATATTGAAAATCCCATCGAAAATTTCTTAAAGCAAAAAGTAGGAATTGCTTTTGAATTGATTCTATCTTGTCTGAGTAAATATGATATTTTGCATTCCAAACCACTGAACCGTATTCCAGAATCGGTCTAACTAATGTTGTAAGCAGGGTGATATAAGTGTCACTAAATTCTTTTGACTATCGTAGCATTTAGCCTTGTTTACTGTCACAACGAGTTAATTTATGAAACGCGTAAATTTAAAAGTCAAATGTCAGACCAAGAACCAATTTAAAATTTTATTAATTTTTAACCGCCTTCCAAAAAAGGAGGTTATCAGTTCGTCGGAATATTTTTTTTTATAACTTGGGACCACGTCAACCGATTTCGATAATTCTTTTGCATTTTGCTGAATGTTTGCGGTAAAAATTATGGTAATATAGACTTAAACGTTTTTATTTTGCGGTTAGACTTCGCTTGAGTTTACCACATTGCTTACGCGCTCAATTTGGTAGATTTTAACAGATGGTTTACGACGCCGTACAGCTACGAGGTGTACTACGACCACTGCGTACCAGGAGCAATGTTGAAGAACATCGCAGTCTTCTTGGCAAACTGCAGCAGACTAACCAGCAGTCTACAGCTCAACATACTATTTACCCAGTTCGAAATTACGGGATGAACCCCTATGGTCGTCATGCCGTCTAAAGTGGCTTAGACTAATGGGCATGTAATGCTTTGGATATGCGTGGCCACTTGTGGACACAAATTGCTGAGGCAAATTGAGAGGAAGAAAAATTATCAGAAATAGTCATTAAACGCAAAACCAGTAAAAACTTGCAACTTACGCCACTGTGAAATTTTTCCATGGTGAAGTTTTGGCAGGCAATTTTCATTTTGCTTCGATATATTTCTCATCGCCATAAAACAAAGGCTGACTTCCAAAACGTCAATTGCTTTGCATACGTACAAAGTATAATGTTCCATAACGCCGAACTACAAAATATTGACAATGTATACTGTTCCAAAACGCATCCGAAAAGTTATCGAAACGCATCGCTAGAGCAATCAGCGCATCAGAAACAAAGTTGATGCTTCGTTTGTTATTGATTACCATTGGTGTTTTAAAAATGGAAAATTCAGAAAAATGTTTCATTGCTATATTGAATATTTAAAATATGCAATGTATATGGTTGCAATGTGTCGCAACTCTGCATATACAAACAGTTTGAATACCGCAGTATAATAATATTCAAACATTGTATTGATACTGTGGCGAATACTGCGGCAACACAAAGCGAACAACGAAAAATAGGCAGAATGTTCGAGGAATGACGTAGAATATTCCACAAAGAGAAACGTCAAGTTGGATGAACACTGCGAACAGCGAGAGAAAGAGAATGAGCGATAAACTTCAGAATGTTCTAGAGTTGCCATAAGTGCCAGCGCAGGTATATAAGGGCGCCGCCACAGCGAGGTGAGTTAGTTACAAGACAGCAAGCTACAAGTAAAGTGAGCAGAGAAGTGAGTTGCGAATAAGCAAGATATAAGTTTAATTGTGTGTAACAAGTTCAGTTAAGCGCTGTTATTGCTTTAACAAGTATTGTAAAGTGTTTTTACTGTATTAGCGAGTATTGTAAATTGTTTGTTGTACAATAAAGTTAATTGTACTACAATTTGGTCATCGATTGAATTTATTTAACAATCCAGCGATACGAGCCGAGAGATTTGGGAAATCCGGACGAGGTTTCAAGGATAATCGTAACAATTGGTGTCAGAAGTGGGATTGTTAAATAAATCCCGAAGGAGAAACTACTAAAAATGGCGAAAATTCAGGACTTAAAAATTGAGGAGCTGAAACAGGAGTTGGAAAAGCGTAATTTGGCCACCTCCGGAAGAAAAGTGGAATTGTTATCCCGGTTGCGAGAGGCTATGGAAGCTGAAGGCATCGACGTAGACAAATACGACTTCCAAGGTAAACCCGACGATACATCCGCAAAGGACGAACAGAAGGATGAGGCTGCATGTTCGTCCAAGGATGTGCAACAGACATCCGGGAAGGTTGAAGAACAGCAAAAGGCTCCTTCGTCATCAACAGTTATGGCCATGAACACGTTATTGGCTGCCATGTCACAGATGATGCAAGCACAGGATACACGCATGTCAGAGGTGTCATCACAGCTGTCATCCCAGATGCAAACGCTGGAGACACGTATATCTTCAGAGGTATCAGCGCAGGTGTTATCCCGGCTAGAAGCTCAGCTACTGGCACAAGAGACACGTATATCATCCCAGCTGGAAGCACAGGATGCAAAAATTACACAAATACAGGACAAAATCGAAGAGAGACAGGAGAAAGTCGAGACAAAGGTAGAGGAGTTGGAAGGTCGTCTTCGTGATTTACAGTTGAATCGTCCAGCTACTTCGACGAGCGCACCCAAGGTAAAAACCCCATCCTTTGACGGCACGATTCCTTTCCAGGTCTTTAAGCTCCAGTTCGAAAAAACGGCTGCAGCAAATCATTGGAGCATGGAGGATAAATCCGCTGCACTATTCGTTGCATTGAAAGGACCTGCGGCAGAAATCTTGCAGACTATTCCCGACTGTGAAAGGAACAGTTACGATGCGTTAATGGGTGCAGTGGAAAGACGTTATGGTAGCGAGCACCGGAGACAGATTTACTAGATGGAACTGGAGAATCGCTGCCAGAAATCCAACGAGACTTTACAGGAATTCGCCTCTGAGGTTGAAAGGTTGGCTCATTTAGCAATTGGAGATGCATCTGGTGAGCACCTCGAAGGAGTAAAAATCCAGAGGTTCATCAACGGAATGCGGGACGTGTATACCAAGCGTGAGACGTACGCGAATCCCAAGCCAACATTTGCTGAAACTGTCTCGTATGCTCAGACGCGTGAAACGGCGGCGCTCCTAAGTAGACCAGCCTACAAAGCACATCGCGTGGAAGTGGAGACACCGGACGAGACAAAGGAAATGCTGAAGAAGCTAATCCAACTGCTGGGTGAGAAAAAGCATGGCTCTGGCAAATGCTTTAGTTGCGGAAAACCAGGCCACTTCGCCCGCGATTGCAGCGCAAGTTCCAGTGGGCTCAACCATTCAGCAGGACGCAAACGCAGGGCTGAGGGAGACGAATCCAACTCAAATCAGTCGTTAAACTAAAACGTGCCAGCAGGAAGGGCCGCGTGCTGGCTCCAGAAGTTGAAGGGCCCATAATCTCCGTCTCACAAATTGGCCGGAATGCGAGCAACCTCACTATTGGTGGATGTGTGAATGGGCAGGAGCGAGTGCTGACAGTGGATACTGGAGCGTCACATTCCATTATTCGACCTGATGTGACTACTTTTTATGTGAAGCCACTACCTGGAGCAAAGCTGCAGACTGCAACTGGTGAATGCACCCAAGTGTTAGGAGAAGTACCATGCGAGGTAATAATCGACGGTTGGGCCTCGTACACTAAGTTTATAGTGGCAGACATTGTGGATGAAGTCATCATCGGCGTGGATTTCTTACTTGGCCAAGGCATGAAGATTGACCTCCAGAGAATGATCCTGACAGATCGTCACAGGAAAGTGCCACTTAGGGTTGGTTACGACAGCCAGTACTGCAGCAGACGGTTAGAAGAAGTGTCGACAATTCCACCAGAAACGGAAGCGGTTAGTTGGGCGGAGGTTGGCAGTGATGGAGACGGAGTGGTTTCATCAGGAGAAGGAAGCGGTTCACTGATACAGGTTCCGCTAGCTCAGTGAAGAAGAGGTCGCAACAAGGAAGTGGTCATGGCAAGCCAGGCAGTGTTTCCGGCAGGAGGAAAGCCACTGAACCACGTTGCAATGGTGATACGCCGTTGGCCGGAAATGGAGGCGGCTGTGAAAGCAGTAGGCGCGCTTTGAAGTGTCCCGAAAAAGGTGGTCGGAAAAGGCGAGCAATTAAGCCGAAAG